ACTTTGCTGCCTGGACTCCTGTGGTAGTGACATCATTCCATGCCAACTTGAAGTGTAGGGGTGGAGTCTGGCCTGTCCATCATGCCTCCTTGTGGCGTGATCGTCTCATAAGGAGGGTCCTGGGAACCTTGCCTCTCTCTGCCTTCACCTTCCTGTTGACGCCACATGGAGACCTGTGCAAGCCCCGCAGGTGCGTCCACCACCACTGGATCCACAAGACTTTGCACCCACCAGCCTGTAACCTTCCTGCATTCTGCATCATTGCACGCAGCTGTGTGAGTCTAAAGAGGGACCTATAGACAAGTATCAGACTTATGGACTTGATCTGGACTGGGATGTTTGCTCGAGATGTAATTCTTGAAAAGCTGTCCCTTAGGCATAGATGAGTGTCCATGGATTTGTTTCTCTAGTCAACCCGGCCTAACGTGAGTCCTTTGAACCCAACCTGTGCCCTGGTGGCACAGTGGTTATGCATTGGGCTGCTCACTCCAAAGTCAGCGGTCAGCAGTTTGAAACCACCAGCCGCTCCTCGGGAGGAAGATGGGGCTTTCTACTTCCGTGAAGAGTTACAGTCTGAGAATCTAATCATAGGGGGCAGTTCTACCCTGTCCCGTCAGGCCACCATGAGTGGCCACGGACTCAGTGGCAGTGGGCTCTTGAGTTTGAGTGCCACTGTTAAGGGCCATCGAGTCGTTTCCAGCTCTTAACGATTCTGTGTACAACGGAAGGAGACACTGCCCGGTCCCACAGTGTCCTCCCCATGTCCTCCTGTCTGAGCCCAGTCTTGCAGCTGCAGGGTCCGTCCATCCCTTGAGGGCCTGCCCCTCCACTTCACCAAGCACGATGCCCTTCTCCAGGGACCGGTCTCTGCTGACCACACATCCAAAGTCCGTGAGTCGACGTCTCGCCATCCTTGTTTTTGGGTTGTTTTTAAATTAGTAATCATTTTATTGGGAGCTCTTACAGATGTTATAACAATGCATACTTCAATTAGATCAAGCGCAATTGCACAGTTGATGCCACCATCCGTTTCAAAACGTTTTCTTTCTTCTTGAACTCTTTGGTATCAATTCCCCTGTATCCCCTCCCTCCCCCTCAACCCCCCAGGAATGCTTATTTGTGGGGTACCAGCCCCCATAATCAAATGGGTCCGAGGGGCGGTTGTGTAATTGAGGGGTGAAATCAAAGGACACGAGACAAGATAAGGCTCACCTCTAGGACCGCCATCACTTCAGGAGCCAGGTCCACGCAGAGAGAGAGAGAATATATTTCCAACCAAGGCTTATATACTCCGGGGGCGGGGGGTCGTGCAAACCCCCTTAATTACAGGTTACCACATACACAACAAAGTGGACTGTACCCTAACCCTAAAGATCCCTGAATTTATTGGAAGAGTTACCTAACACCAGTGCTGGGGGCAGAGAAGGGGGAGTGACTGTCCCCTGAGCAGAGAGAGCAATAGCAACATGTCTGGTCCTACAGATAAGCCGCCGGCCGGACAGCCATCAGCCAAGTGCTTCTAAGAGGTCACCTTAAGGCAGCCCAATGATGGGAGGCTATAGTGGGGAGCAATACTAAGTATGAGAATGTGATTGGGACTCACCCCCAACTCACCAGGGTGAAAGCCTCCCTACACCCCAGAAACCCAGCCTGCCAGGCTCCTTCGTTTATGAGACTAAAGGATTCCTCGGTAGACACTCTTCCCGTTCCGGTGTCACCCACTTATTGTTATATTATGCATTATTATCGTTACTATTAATGCCATCCTTGTTTGTCAGCAGCACGCCGGCTGTTTTTGGCCAAGACTGCCGGGGTACTTTTGATATTCTCCGCAGCCCCCCAGTTCAGACCCGGAGCTGACTCAAGGGGGGGCTTTATCTTCAAGGGAGCGAGCGCATCGCCCGATCAATTCTCCTGCAGAATCCGCGGTGAGACCACCACTTAACCACGGCAGCACCAGGCTCCCGGACGGAGCACCCGCTGGGTGACAACGAACTAGGAGTCCCCGCCCGGCCGTGGAGGGGGAGGGCCGCTTCCAGCTGCGTCTCAGAGGCTACCTGCGGAGCAGGCAGCTCGGGGCGGGCGCGCGGGGCGAGCGCCGCACCTGCAGCCCTCGCGTCCTGCGCCTTCCGCTGCGTAATTGGGCACATTTC